ACAGAATCCCACTCAACGTCAGGTCAAAGTTTTTAACTAGCATTTTACTTTCAAGGGCTGATTTAGGATAGGTTACACATAAATTAATAAGCATGAAGACTAGGGATGGTGTCGATCTGATCCAGTATCGGTATCGGCCTTTTATACCAGCATATTTTACGTATTGGATTTTTCCAATCCACCTGCCGATATTTCTGATCCATGATGCACGTTGGCTTCAAACTATGGAATGGATTTCCTGAACGGAGGCGTGTTTCATGAACCCAGAGTAATAAGACCCGCTTCACATTCAGGAAATCCATTCCATAATTTGCAGCCAGCTACAATGTGACGACTGAGTTAGCAGTACTGTGGCTAACAACTAACCAACTTTTCATCTAAACATGTCCACTGTGTGGAAGTATTTTACACTAGAAACACCACAAAACAAGACAGCAACGTGCAATGTCTGCAGAGCCATAGCACCACATTAAACCACGGTAAAGTTAGTTTTACGTTGGAAATTCGAGCTCCTTGGCTTCAGCGTGGCGCTACTCTTGCTCAACCCGAAACAGCCAACTCGACCCCGGCCAGCCGCGTCCAATCTGCCCCGCTCAGTCTGCCCGTCTCTGAGGAGGGACAGACTGAGTGTGGCTGACCGAAATCAGGCTGCCTGCTTCGGACTGAACAGCCCCGGAGCTCGAATGTTTACAAAGAAGTTGCTAAACTGCATCATAATTAATGACCAACCACTATCAGTTGTAGAAAACAAAGGATTTCTCAGCTTGATACTTGCAGCCAAGATATAGTTTACCCTCCAGGAGAGATTAATCAATACAACAGTAGACAATCATTAAAAAAAACATATGATTTGAAAATTATATATATTAAAAAAAAAATCGAAACAGAAACAGCTACATTATAAAGTGATGTAAAATACTAAAAACAGGAACATGTCTGTTGGTTTATGTCACGAACTTAGCAGGTGTTTGAAGCCATTTAACATTTTTTATTTTATTTTAATTTGTTTATTCATTCATTTAAAAGAACAAAAGTTAAAAAAAATCATCAAAAAGAAAACATTGAATGAAAAAGAGTGCAGAAAGAAGAAAACAATTCTTATATCTGCCCCTTATTTAAAAAATATATAAAATAACTTTAAACAGTCACTTAAATTAATCACTTTAATATCCACTTTAAAGTTAGGAATTTAAAAAAACATGTTTTGTGTTAGCAGAATTTAATTATAACTTTAAAACGTATCCAACATTAATACAACTTACATCAAGTTGCCTTTTTCGACATGCATGCATATATTTGTACAAATTGTACTTGAGAGGAGATTATTACAGCCTCATATAAAATCAATATTGATCATGATATCGGAACAGGATTGGTATTGGCTGATATTCAGATTTAGGTATCGGGATCGGATTGGAAGTAAAAAAAAAAGTGGATCGTGCATCCCTAATGAAAACTTATCACAGAAATGAGCAGCATACTGTGTTATCTCCTGACTTTTATAACATCCAGTGGGTGTTACTGAAGACAGCTGCAGGACATCAAAGAAACATCACAATTAGACCTTCAGTTCGAAATAGGAGAGTGGTTTGGGAGACAACTGAGCTGCTTCTTTTCAGGGCAGATGGGAAAATGTTTGTAACATAAATGCTATTTGGAAAGGTCAAGAGGTGAACTTAAACCTTCTAGTTGTGGAATGCCAGTTTTGCAACTGTTCCACCTTGCTGAACTGGCCACCACAACAAACACAAAATAAAAATAATAAAAAAAATAGCTCAAACTGAATTTCACAGATATGAAATTACAATGTGGTGTGGTAGTAGCTGACAGTCATTCACAACACTTACTCCACTTTCTAAAGTAGATACAACTCCATCAGACTACTTTTTCAGGCGGCTGAGACGAGCTGGTCTGGGAAGCTCAGTCCTCACCTCCTTCTACAGGTGTGCAGTGGAGAGCATCCTGTGCTCCAGCATCAACGTGTGGCATGGAGGCTGCACAGCTGCAGAAAGAAAAGCTTTGCAGAGAGTGGTGAAGGCGGCACAGAAGTCTGTTGGAGTCATTCTCCCCACCTTCACAGACATCTACACTTCCAGATGCAGGAAGAGGGCCACCTGCATCATGAAGGGCCCCACTCACCCAGCACACACAATTTTTGCCTCACCACCCTCAAGCAGGAGGTTAAGGAGCATTAAGTGTAGAACAACTAGACTGAGGAACAGCTTCTACCCAGAGGCTGATAGACTCATGAATGTCTAACTAGAATAATCACTGTGAAAAATCACATCATGTTGCTGTTGATCTGTTTCATGTTGATGTGTTCATTCATGCTCATCTGCTCACACAGACTCATGTTCGTGCTGCTGTCTGGCATATTGTTTTTATGCTACTAGTTCTTAGCGTATTTTTAATTAACGTTTTCTTAGTTCATATCTTAGATCTTATTACTGTTTTTCTTTTACATTTTATACTTTTGTTGGATGTAACTGGGACCCTGTGTACACAGTTTCGTTCCACCACATGTACCACATGTGGTATGACAAATAAAGAATCCTTGAATTTCTCACTAAAGATGATCTTTGCCTAAAACTCTGGCATGAGAGTTTGGTGTATGTATACATATATATACACACACACAATAACACAAACTTACCGGTCGAAACAGTGTTTTTTGGTAACTTTTCTTCTCTCTACACATGTGGATTTAAGATTGCTAAATATATTTTTGCGGAACTAACCCTAATCCCACATTCTTAAATGCTTAGAGGACAAGTCCATAAACTGTACATATGCCTGCTTTATTAAGTTTTATTATAACAACACTGACCAAAAGCCTCATCTACTGGCTAATCATTCAATTCATATAAGAAGTGCCTGTATCATAACTCTGTCATATTCATACTATTCGTATCATGGGTTTCACTTAGACACACATGGTTTTATGAGTCAATAAAAACATGGAAAAAATGACTACAAAGATGAACAAGACTTGGGACACAAAAGGTGAAAAAGGTCATAAGATCTGAACAGAGAACAGTGAGCAGATGAGCAAAGACAAAGATGAAAGACAGAGAGAGAGTAGCATGGGATTACAGAAATAAGCAGGGAAAAGAAGAAGAAACGGGCTGCTCTTTGCAAATGATTACCTCATTTTCTTTTCTGTGAAAAACCAAGTGGTCTCTGACTCAAATGCTTTGATGACTGTCATCTGGTGAAAAGCCAAAAAGAGTGAAATCACCTGGAGGTTGAGTTTGTTACAACTCTGCCATCCAGATTTCAACTAATTAGTTTCATTTAAAGAGCTCAGAGACAACACATCATTCTTCTCTTTAGATAACTCAACCTTTTAAATATAAGGTAAAAAGAAGCAACAGGTTGCATGGGCATAGTAAGTTCAAACATGCTTATTTAATATAAACACCTCTGAGGTGAATTTCAAAGAAAAATCACATGAAGTCATTTAGATGGATTTTTTTCTTCATTCTTTTTAATGTTGTAGAAATTTTGACTTTAACACATTTGGATGCTGTTAAATAAATGTGTGACTTTCCAAGAAAAAAATGTCAGACCTTAAATACCTCCCAGTGGGATTTTTGTTCCTTACTGTGAATTTCAATTTTAATCCAATAGCAATTTTCGAGGTGTCACTTCTCAAAATTTAACATTATATTCCACTATGAATGTCTTGGGCTTTACACTGTTTGACAGGTGCTGTTACTTAAAGATGTTTTAAAGCTTTCATTTTCCAGCTGTCTACATATTTTGTGTCATTACCTTAAGATTTCAAGCCAATTTCAAGCATTACGCCTAAACTTTAGGTGCAGTTTTTCTCCCCTGTCGCAGAGCTATTAGGGGGAAATAAAAATACCCGTCTTTCTGTCAGTTCACACAAGAATGTTGTGAGCATGATAACTTGGCAAATGTGTGTGGTACCAACTTCAATTTTGGTGTAAAAGTTTTCTATCAAAAATGGGTTGCTACTTCAAAATCCAAGATGACCACCAACATATACATACCTGTATATATAAATATATATATATTAGGGGTGTAACGGTACACATGGGTGTACCGAACCCTGTCGGTACTGCCCATTCGGTTCAGGCCGTGTGCGTACCGTTTTGGTTATTTTTTCACTCGTTAAAATTTCCTAACAAGAGATTATGCACCGCAGAACTAAAATTCCTAAGCATGTTGCTGCACGGCGCTATTATCTTGCGCACACTAGCATTAGCAGCCTAGCATGTCATTGCGGTCTCCAGTTGGGGAACATTGTCTTTCTTGTTAAAAGACAAGTGTAAATCCAAAGTTGTGTGTCGACGTTGTTTCACAGAGATTGGATCTGCAGCAGCAACACGTCTAACTTGTTGACACACTTGAAACAACATCATCTGAATGTGAACGTCTCTTCTACAAGCAAGACAAGCAGCTTGTTGCAAAGACCGATAACAGAAGCATTTAAATCAGTGGTCCCCAAACTACGGCCCGCGGGCCAGATCCGGCCCCCGACCATATTTGGTCCGGCCCCCTGAACAATACCAGAGAGCATTTAGAATTTTTTTCATATATGTGTATTTGTATTTGATAATAAAGTTGGACTTTTGCAATAAAATGTTTCTTAGTTATGAACTATTTTCATTATTAAGTAATATAATACTATAATACATAAGTTAATAACTATTTCATACACGCATATAACGTGACATTCTGTTCCACCCTTCTGTGGTCTGTGTCCCTATCTGGCAACCCCCAGAAAAAAATTCTAAACCTGCCCCTCGCAAAGAGAGAACGGAATAATGGCGAAAAGATTAGGTAAGAGAAAAATTGATTCAGAATGCAGGGCATTTAACCTGCAGTGGACAAACGATTATTTTTTTGTTCAATGCAAAGAAAAGGCTGTCTGTCTCATTTGTCAAGAGGCGGTGGCAGTATTCAAAGAATATAATCTGTGGTGACACTATGAATCCCGCCACAAAGACAAGTATGCTAGCTTGCAAGGCCAAATGCGAGCAGACAAACTCTCAAAGCTAAAAAGTGGACTGTTAGCTCAGCAGAATACATTTGTACACCAAGCTCAGCTGAACCAGTCATCTGTTCGGGCCAGCTTTCGGGTTGCTCAACTGATAGCAAGCAGCGGTAAACCTTTCACTGATGGAGAGTTTGTCAAGAAATGCATGAACGCTGTCGCGGAGGAGGTGTGTCCTGAGAAGAAAGATGTCTTTAATGCCGTGAGTCTATCAGCGAGTACAATCACCAGACGCATTGAAGAAATCGTGGGTAATGTATATGCCCAGCTGCAGCAGAAGACGAAAGAATTTGAATTTTTTTCATTAGCACTGGATGAGCGCTCGGACGTGCAGGACACCGTGCAACTGCTCATTTTTGTTCGTGGAGTTAGTGCAAACTTTGAGATCTGCGAGGAGCTGGCAGCCCTCCAAAGTCTCAAAGGGACTACGACAGGGGAGGATATTTTCGGCAAAGTGTACCAAACCATGGAAGAGTTGGACCTGGACTGGTCAAAGCTGGCCAGCATTACAACTGACGGGGCACCTAATATGGTGGGCATGTCTCGGGGTCTAATAGGACGCATGAACCGGGAGATGGAAGAACGAGGTCTCACCGCCCCGCTACAAGTTCACTGCCTAATTCACCAGCAAGCACTGTGCTGCAAAGTGTTGGCTTGGGATTCTGTCATGAAGGTTGTGGTGTCATGCATAAACTTCATCAGAGCAAAGGGACTTAAACAAAGGCAGTTCCAAGAATTCCTGTCTGAACTGGAATCTGCGCACGGCGATGTGCTGTACTACACAGAGGTCCGATGGTTGAGCCGGGGCAGAGTTTTGAAGCGTTTTTACGAGCTGCTACCTCAAATTAACGCATTTCTTCATTCACAAAACAAAACGGTGCCAGAGTTGATCGACCCAGAATGGAAATGGCACCTCGCATTTTTAACAGACATGACAGAAATGCTGAACAGCTTTAACTTGCAGCTACAAGGCCAGGGGAAACTCATTTGCGAAATGTATTCCCACATAAAAGCATTTGAGGTGAAACTAGAGCTGCTTTTGGGACACGTGAAAAAGCACAGCTTCATCCATCTCCCTGCTACACAAAACCTCTCTGCAGAGAACCCAGCGGTCCCGTTTCCAGCTGAAAAGTGTGTGGAAGCACTGGAAATGCTGAAGGCGGAGTTTGGTGCGCGATTCCGTGAACTACATGTTTATGCAAAAGAAATCTGTCTTTTCCAGAACCCCTTTGTTGCCGACATTGACGAAGCCCAGCCTTCTTATCAGTTTGAGTTGGCCGAGTTACAGAACTGTGATGTTCTGAAAGACGCGTTCAAGCCCAGCGGTCTCATTGACTTCTATGCCGCCCTCCCAAACGACACATACCCTAACATCAGAAAACACGCAAGGAAGATGTCCACACTTTTTGGCAGCACATATATTTGCGAGCAAACCTTTTCACGCATGAAACTGCTGAAAACTCCAATGAGATCAAGATTGACAGATGAACACCTGCATCAGTGTTTGAGACTGGCAGTGACTAGAATGGAACCTGATATTCAACTTCTCACCAGCCAGATACAGGCCCACAGTTCACACTGATGAACATAGGTAAGCTCACTTTTCTGACTTGAATGAGTCATTCTGACTATAAAAAATATAATCATAATAACCCTCTCTGTCAATATCCCAGAGAGGGTTATTTGGTTATTATTTATTTCATAAATAATGTTATTTACTTCCTGAATTTTGTTCTGTGAAGAACCCAGAGAGGGT